ACAAAAAATGCTATGTTAATGTGAATAGGGTTGCAAAGGGGTAGAACATTTCCGGAAACTTTCCAAAAATCCCTGGAATATTCCAAAAAATCCTGGAAACTTTCCAAAATTTCTGGAATTTTTCTGAAATTTACTGGATTTTCCACCTTTTTGCAACCCTAAAAGCGAATAATTAATCATGCGAATGTTAATGTGCATTAATATTCAAATATAACAAATATTACAAACTAGACAGCATTCTGGGGTATTTTAGGCATGTGTTTCTAATGGCCCATAATGCTGTCTAGGTAGGTGCTTATTAAAGCAGTTGTTTGTTGCAGTGTTGTTGTAATTGTTTCAGATAAGAATAAAATAACAATCATCAATGTTGAATCTGTTGTGACAGGACGCATTTAATGCGTTTCATCCAAACCTTCAGCTCGTGAGGAAATACATGAAGCCGCTGTTAATTGGGGAGCTTGAGGCGTCTGAGCCCAGTCAAGACCGGCAGAAAAACGTGAGTACAGGGACTTTACTGAAGCATGACAGCTGGTTGAATTTCCATTAATCTGGTTAGGATGCACTTATCGAATTCAGAATTCAGCTATCGAGTGTGACTTTGAAATGAACTGACCACTTTACACAGAAAGTTGAGTTGAAATTCAAATTGGGATGACTGAATTACAATTCAAAGAAACTTATCAGGTCATTGCGTTCTGGCAATTGATTGCATCTGTGTTTCCGTAAGGCTTATAAAACCATCAAACTCCAAGACATCTGTAGCTTTTTTTTAACACCTTTAAATAAGTCTGTCAAACAGTCATCCTAAGTTCAAATGATGAACTTCTCTTTTCTAAAATTGCTATTAAATAACATACGTATGGCATACTTTAATGGCATACTTATGAATTGTGACCAAAGTCAGAATTGTGAAATAAAAAGTCATAATTACTTTTTTTATTTCATTTTCAATTTTAATTCTACTTCTTTTCATTCAAATTCTAAATTCAAATCCGTTCAAACTGAGGAATTGTATTGCAGTTTAAAAGGCGTTCTCAATTCAATACTGTGCTGCACAATGTGTTTGATTCCAGAAAGCAGCTATGTGTATTGTATGAGCTCTGGATCATGACCTTCACATCACAGAATGACTGTCAGGCTGTAATTCCACTTCCCAGACAGCCAAATAACAGCTTGTTGACTTAAGAATGACATTAAAGCACAAAAAGCAATACACCGCTCAGATTAACCTTTGCCCGAAGACACGAGTCACATACTCCAAACTTCTGAGTGATTCAGCTGTGTTCACCCCTTAAAAATTCAGGTCATGAAAGTCGATTCACTCCTGCATTTAAATGCGATTGTCACTCCCTTCGCAGTGTGAACGTGGCCATAGAGGACTGTATTTGTTGTCATTTCACCTTCGTTTTCTATCAGGGGGCACTTGTGGAGGATTTCCGAGCCCTTCGTGAGCGTCTGGAGGCTGAGGGGTGTTTCAAAACCCAGCCCCTGTTTTTCATCCTGCATCTGGGTCACATCCTGCTCCTGGAGGCTATCGCCCTGATGATGGTGTGGTACTTTGGAACTGGCTGGATCAACACTGCCATCGTGGCTGTTATACTGGCTACCGCACAGGTATGTGACACATGTTTCATTAAACTGTGTTTTTAAAAGAGCAGCAGAATTGGTAACCAAAATCGGTTGCCATTTGGATGCTGGTGTACTTAAAGGGATAGTTCACCCAAAAATGGAAACTCTGTCATTAATTACTCACCCTCATGTCGTTCCAAACCTATAAGACCTTCGTTCATCTTCGGAACACTATGAGAATATTTTTTGTATGCAAAGAAAACAAAAATAACAACTTTATTCAACAATTTGTCTCCTCCCTGGTGCCGTTTTGGAGAGTATTCACTGAACGCAAACAGCATATGCTATTCTGTGTCAGCTGCGTCACGTGTCACCAGGGTGACACGGAGGAGACAAATTGTTGAATAAAGCCGTTATTTTTGTTTTCTTTGTATACAAAAAGTATTCTCGTAGCTTCATAAAATTACGGTTGAACCCCTGATGTCACATGGATTATTTTAACAATCTCCTTGCTACGTTTCTGGACCTTGATCGTGTTACTTACATTGCTGTCTATGGAGGGTCAGAGAGCTCTAAGAATTCATCAAAAATATTTTTATTTGTGTTCCGAAGATAAACGGAGGTCTTATGGGTTTGAAACGACACGAGGGTGAGTAATTAATGACAGAATTTTCAGTTTTGGGTGAACTAACCCTTTAACTAACTTAGCTACCGTAACCGTTAGCTGGTCAACAAGGAGTTTTCTTGTAAAGAGCATAACTGGAAATGTCTTGATGCAAAAATCAACAATGTAAATGTTCATGGTTTTTTGTTTGTTTTGATTGTTTGTCTGTAGTCGCAGGCTGGATGGTTGCAGCATGACTTCGGTCATCTGTCCGTGTTTAAAAACTCACGATGGGATCACTTATTGCACAAATTTGTCATCGGATACCTGAAGGTACCAACATATCCTGGCCAGTCTTCACTAAAAATGATTAAAGATGGTTCCAGGAATACAGCTCATTAGCCTAGCTCAGGGGTGGCGAACTCCGGTCCTGGAGAGCCACAGCCCTGCAGAGTACAGCTCCAACCCTAATTAAAACTCACTTGCCTGTAGCTTTCTAGTAACCCTTCAGACCTTGATTAGCATTTTCAGGTGTGTTTGATTAGGGTTGAAGCAAAACTCTGCAGGACTGACGTTCGCCACCTCTGGCCTAGCTGTAGGTTATTTTCAGTCACTTGGTTTGTGGTCACATGTTGTTTTCAGGTTTCAAAACTGTAACTTTTAAGCTTTCTTGTCATTTTGTAACCATTTTCGTTGAGGTAACGCAAAGTAAATGTAGGTAATTATACCAAAATAATACCGAAGGTTGGGTCATTCATGGCATTTGCACATTTAGTTCATAACAACGATTTGCCTTTTTTAAAAGCAAAAATGTGAAAGTTCATACAATAGTTTCCACCTTGAAAAGAAGACAGGGTTTCAAGATGCCGTTTTTTACATTTGAACTTCACACAGCATCTTTTTCTGATTTTGAAAAAGTCAAAGTCAAAGTTGTCAAAGACATCCTTTGACAATGACCGTAGCGCAAGACACTGAAAAACCACTGAGGAAAAGAAGTCAATAAAGGCCTTCTGAAGCAAATGATGAGTACAACAGTTAGCGGAAGCTAGAGATTATGGTTTGTAAAATTTTAATATAGATATTTTCATTGCATCACTTCATCTAAGAAGGGATTAATTAAATCCCGGATCCATGTGGAGCACTTTTTATGATGGATAGACACAATTTATAAAACTTCGAAGAACCAAGAAATTTTTTTAAATAGCTCCAATTGCATTTGTCTGAAAGAAGAAAGTCATATACACCTAGGATGGCTTGACGTAAGTAAATCATGGGGTAATTTTCATTTTCGGGTGAACTAACCCTTTAAAAAAGCAGTGCGAGACAAACAAGCCAAAGTCAAAGACATCCATCTAGCGCAGTGTTGCCAATTTAGCTACTTTGTAGCTAGATTTAGCAACTTCCCCGCCCCTTTTGAGACTTTTTTCAAAAGTTTAGGGACAAATATAGCAACTTCTTGGACAAGCCTTATCTAAGTTCTCATCTTCACGCCTGTATTTTTCGACAGATATATGCTGTAGCTTGACTACGCAAATCCGTGCATTAGTTTGATTACAACTGCACACGTAAACAGTTATACTATTTTCATTGCATCACTTCATCTAAAAAGGGATTAATTAAATCCCGGATCCATGTGGAGCACTTTTTATGATGGATAGACACAATTTATAAAGCTTCGAAGAACCAAGAATTTTTTTTAAATAGCTCCAATTGCATTTGTCTGAAAGAAGAAAGTCATATACACCTAGGATGGCTTGACGTAAGTAGATCATGGGGTAATTTTCATTTTCGGGTGAACTAACCCTTTAAAAAAGCAGCGCGAGACAAACAAGCCAAAGTCAAAGACATCCATCTAGCGCAGTGTTGCCAATTTAGCTACTTTGTAGCTAGATTTAGCAACTTCCCCGCCCCTTTTGAGACTTTTTTCAAAAGTTTAGGGACAAATATAACAACTTCTTGGACAAGCCTTATCTAAGTTCTCAACTTCACGCCTGTATTTTTCGACAGATATATGCTGTAGCTTGACTACGCAAATCTGTGCATTAGTTTGATTACAACTGCACACGTAAACAGTTATATTGAATATTTATAAGATAAATATAAATCACCCAAAACACAAAAACGTACTAAATTTGAGCTTAAAAATGTTCTGCTTTTTGATACAGTTCATGCTACTTAGTAGAGTGTCGCATTGTTAGCTTAGCATCATGCTGACAACAAACTTGAGTCTACCATGTGCTTTTTGCATGAGAAGTGCTGTTTGTATGTTCATGAAATTTGCTGCGTATAAAACATCTCAATTTAAAATCAGTTTTGGAACCTGTATTGGTCTGTCTGTTTGTGTGTCTGATGTTTTTGTGCGTCATTTCTCAGGGAGCATCTGCGTGCTGGTGGAACCATCGCCACTTCCAGCATCACGCTAAACCCAACATTTTAAAAAAGGACCCAGACGTCAACTTGCTCAATGCGTTTGTAGTGGGAAAAGTGCAGCCTGTGGAGGTAGGAACACACCATCCACATGACACATACGTGAAGAAAATACCCGATCGGAGCTGATTGGACTCTTTCTGTCTGTCTTTACTACAGTACGGCATTAAAAAGATCAAGAATCTGCCTTACAACCATCAGCACAAGTACTTCTTCTTCAGTAAGTCACTTTATGCCACAGCATCTACAGGAATGTTTACAAGCTTCTTACTGGAATTTATATCATAATTTGGATCACAAAGGATCCTTATAAAAATAAATAAGATTCAAATAAGATCCTACTGGATAAACTGAAGCTTGTAAGGTACTATTTTATCTTTTAATCTTTAATTAAACAATTAAATATAGCTTATATTTAAATATTGCTTAAATTATATAAGTCGAAATTTGAAATGTATAAATAAAAACGTTCACTTATTTGTGTAAAATATACTATTATGTAAAACTTACTAGTTATTATGCTACAAAAATTATTTTATTGTCCTTCAGTGGCATTTTATTATATTATATTTATTATATAGTATATTATTTTAAAATATTTATATATTATATATCAATAGTATTACATTTTGTATATATATATATCAATTTACTATACAATACTATAAATTTAATATTTATAAATTTACAGCTGTACATAACATTTATATCATTAATGTGTATGTGTGTGCGCTTGTGTGTGTGTCTATATAAATTAAAAGTATAATTTATATCATAATAAACATATTCACCAAACTTTAAATGTTTATTAAATATTTTGCCATGTATTCATAATTTGACAATGTGTTCCATTATTATCAAGTCCCATTTAGCACATTTTATCATGTCTATTTTGCAAATTTCTCTTTAATATTAGCACAAAATGTCTGATTACGAGTAGATTATGATTTTCACTGATTTTCTGTTCTATAGGACTAGTTATGATAGACACCATCAGCCAGGCATGTTTACCATCTTCTTCTGTTGTTATTTCTCAGTTGGACCTCCGCTGCTCATTCCGGTGTATTTCCAGTTCCAGATCTTTCACAATATGATCGCACATGGTCTTTGGGTGGTAGGTTACCACGATTGCTTTGACTCTTACCATGTTTATGCAGCTGAATGTGATTTTACAGCACTTTCTCTGCCCTTATCTCTTCTCGTCTTATCTGTTTTAGGACCTTGTGTGGTGTATAAGTTACTACGTTCGCTACTTCCTGTGTTACACGCAGTTCTACGGTGTGCTTTGGGCGGTGCTTCTGTTTAATATCGTGAGGTACAAATAATAATTTCATTTACTACTTCTGCTTTAAACACGTTTATTGTAGATTTAATATTCCAAATGCGTTCTCAATGGCCGAAAAGGCAAAATACACTCACTAATAAAAAATCCCATTTTCTTTTACATGGTACTTAAGGTAGTACCATGTTTTTTGCACCTGTACCAAGCTTAGTGCCAAGCTTTTCTTTCACTTACCAAAAATGATCTTGGTAATATTAAGGTTTTGTGGTGCATTTACCATAGTACTACCATAGTATTTTTGGAGATACCTTAGTATATGAATATAATCATTCAGTACTAGTACTAGTGAGAGAGAGCGAGAGGTGCGCGTGTCCTTCTGATCTCTTTGATTGCTCACAGCTGCAGGTGTGTAAGAGGTTATAAAGCTGTGCGGTGGATCAGCGTTTACTTCAGTGACCGTCAGATCACAGTGCCTTTTCTTCAATTCTTTTGTCTTTATTTCTCCCTTCCCTGCAGTATAGTGATATAATAGTTCCTCTGTTCTCTACTCTTTTGTTTTATGAAGTTATATTTGAGTTTATTACTTTCAGGAGGATCTTTAATGGGTGTTGTATCCCAAAGAACCAGCTCATTTTGAGTTGTTTTCTGTGGAATGTGTTTTCGTTTTTTTTGTGACAATCAGATCAGTCCTCTGATACTATGTAATGTTTTGTTAAAAATAATTTTAAATATTTTTCTGATTTCTGATCAGTGAGTTTCAGTTTTTTAATTAAACATATTGGAAGTCAAGGGAAAAAAATTACATGTCAAATTGGAAGATAAATTTTGTCAATCACTTTTACCGTACCAATTACCGTAACACAGATACCAAAATTACCGTATAGTTTTCATGACAGATTTAGTTAAACAGACATTAAATAATGAAGACATCCATTTTCATTCATCCACAGATTTTTACCAGGTTAAGTAAAAATATAAAGCAGATGTAATATAGTGCATGTATTTATCAAAATCCTCCTCTCTAGAGTTGTTTTTTTCTAGTGGACTATCAAGCTTTGGACATTGAATGGCTTTCCTGGGGTTATATGACCTTATATACAAGCTATTTTATTGACATCTTTCTGCAGGTGAAATGCACATCAACTAAAGGCACTGACCAAAAGATCATGCCAATAAAAAAAATCTATTAAAAAGGAGAAATCGATATTGTCAAGGCAGCCTCAGTGTCCACACTGCTGATAGTTTTACCTGCTGTAGTTAAAATGCAACATCAGTAAAACACTAATTATATGTTCCCACCTCCGTCCTTTAAAACCATTTCAGCCAAAACTGAATATTTTTGGTTGCTGAACTTTTGGTAATCATATTATGACAGGTGTACACCACCCGATCAATTTAATTCGGTTTGTACTCCGTTGGATTGATTGAGGTGTTTACATGAAGGCTTTTCATTATTTGGTTATAAGTAAACATAGCTAATGATTATTGCTCTACAAAGTATTGTACGACATTACCTTTAATTAGGGAAATTACAGTCAACCATTTCTGTGGATTTTAGCTTTTACTTTGTGTGATTTTACAATTGATATTTTGTTTTTGTGTTACACAAATTTAGAGCCGTCTAACGATTAATCGCTATTACGTTACGTTTATATATTAAATATATTTATATATGATATAAATTATATGAATATAAATATATACATGTAAATATTTTCAAAATATATATACTGTATGTGTGTGTATTTTAGGGGTTGAACGACTTCTGATTTTTTTTAATGTCGACTTTTATGTAATGAAAGTCGCGTCGAAATCGACTAGTCGCTGATGACGTCATTAATGAACAAACAAGTCTGGAGCTGTGATAAACAGCTTGTGCACAGCTATGGCATATGACAGCGCTGGCCACATGGCTGTTGCTCCTATAACAGCTCATTTTTATCAGTTCTTTTGTCTTTGGGTCGTTATATTTCTCACAGATTTCTGCTCGTTCTAAATCCGATAACTTTACAGATAAAGTAGCACAGTAAAGATTACATTCATATGAATGCATTAGTGAGAGCGATTTGCGTGTGTGAATTAATTCTACCTGGCAGCGTCTCTCTACTAGTAGGGAAGCTGTGGAATTTAGTTAAGAAATATATGCTTGAACTTTTCGGTTTCTAAGCTATTTTATCGAGTCGAAGTCGACTAGTCGCTGATGACGTCATTAATGAACAAACAAGTCTGGAGCTGTGATAAACAGCTTGTGCACAGCTATGGCATATGACACAGCGCTGCCCACATGGCTGTTGCTCCTATAACAGCTCATTTTTATCAGTTCTTTTGTCTTTGGGTCGTTATATTTCTCACAGATTTCTGCTCGTTCTAAATCAGATAACATTACAGATAAAGTAGCGCAGTAAAGATTACATTCATATGAATGCATTAGTGAGAGCGATTTGCGTGTGTGAATTAATTCTACCTGGCAGCGTCTCTCTACTAGTAGGGAAGCTGTGGAATTTAGTTAAGAAATATATGCTTGAACTTTTCGGTTTCTAAGCTATTTTATTGAGAAATCACATAACGGTGTTGACAACACATTTCCGCGCTGAATGATTCTGTGCGCACGCGAATGTGTGCGTGATTTACGAGCTACTGTCTGTAGCCTGTGTGTGTGTTACAGTGCAGCAGCGCATTAGATTAGAACGGCGATTAACCTGTACAATAAGCTGTTTAAAACGTGCATTCTCCCGTTCAATTTCGAGCATCCAGTAATATAATCACACATGTCTTGTGGAGTGTTTTCAGAGTATGCATTTATTTGTCATTTTAACTGTTTGGAAACTGAGCGTAAATGTGGAAGTCCTTCAAAGATTTCTTATCCTGTTGCGCCCTCTATAGGACCAGCAACTAGTCGACGTCAAGCTTAAAGCGTCATGGCAGAGCATTGAAGTCGATTAGTCGGTGCAACCCCTAGTGTATTTATATATACATAATATATGTGTATGTACTGTGTATATGTATTATGTAAGCAAAAACTTTTATTTGGATGCCATTAATCGCGATTAATCGTTTGACGACACTAAATATAATGTTTTGACAAGTCGCATGACTGTGGTGTGAAATGTGTTCCTGTGGGCCGCAGGTTCATGGAGAGTCACTGGTTTGTGTGGGTGACCCAGATGAGCCACATCCCCATGGACATCGACTACGAGAAACACCAAGACTGGCTTAGCATGCAGGTACATTCTGAACCATCACGGCCGCACTGGGTTTGAAGTCTTTCGAGCATGCCAACTCTGTGTGTTTCTGTCATTTAGCTGGTTGCAACCTGTAACATCGAGCAATCCTACTTCAACGACTGGTTCAGCGGACACCTCAACTTTCAGATCGAGCACCAGTAAGAAAAACAGAAGTAGTTTCAGTGCAAAAATGGCTTCACTTTATCTTCTGCATTTCACAACTGTGATTTGATCTTGTCCCAGTCTCTTTCCCATGATGCCTCGGCACAATTACTGGCGCGCCGCTCCACGCGTGCGAGCATTGTGTGACAAATACGGAGTCAAGTACCAAGAGAAGAGCTTGTATGAGGCCTTTGCGGACATCGTCAGGTATGATGCACACCTGAAATCTCTTGCTCCGAAATATTCCTATGTAACAACACTGACAAACAATTTCATCATCTGTTGTGGTTGGGGTCAATTTGGCCCAGACTCGGTTTTCAGACAGCTTGAAATACAGGTTAACCTGTTTACTTTTTCGTAAAATTTGGTGAATACTTCTCATTTAGGGTCATGAATGTGCATGCAAAATTTCGACACAGACGTATTTTGGAAAGGCAGTACAAATTTAGTTTGGGTCATATTGACTCCCCAATTGATTTCCATGCAATTTGCCGAACATAAACACTAAAGAGTCAGGTAAAAACCAAAAAACCCTTATTGTAGCTTGTCAAACACTAAAATATGAAATACATGAGAGCTTATGAAATTTAAGACTTAGTGGGTGCAGCAGGTGCAATGATATTACGCAGCGCCTGAAACTGACTATTTTCAGGCGCTGTGTAATATCATTGCGCCTGCTGCACCCATGGTACGGCAGCAAAGTTCCTTGATTATTATGCCGGAATGAGAGTATAGTTATTAGCCATATCGGCCTAGAAAATCGCAACTTTTCATTTTCCGTCGGTCTTAGTACACGATGTAACTACAGAAGAGTCAAGTTTTAAATAGGAAAAATATCGAAACTCTTTGGTCATTTTTGAGCGAGATGCTAACGGTCTAATCAGATTCAATGATCTATGCTAAGCTACAGCTAAAAGTGCTACCGCCAGACCCGGCGATCGGCTGAATGGATTCGAAAACGGTAAAACTCAACTGTTTAACTCTAGGGGAGTTGGAAATGAGCCTATTTTCAAAAATAGTGGAGTGTTCCTTTTAAGTCTATATAATTTTTATTATTTTTTATTTTATTTTAGTTATTTTAGTGCATTAAGTTAAACAAAATTTGATTGAAGTTTAATTTATTTCAAGTAATGAAAATGTTCTTGTTTTTGTTTTTTTATATGGTTTTTAGTTTTAGTTAACTATAATAACCCTGGTCTGTAACAAGCTATAATAGGGGGTTTCTGTTTGTAAATTAATCTTTAGTGTCATTTAAATTTTTTTGCAATTCGCTACAGGAGGTCTTTGTTCACCCCCCGGAGCCATGTGAGGCACTTTTTTATTATGGATGGATGCACTTTATTTCACTTCTTTTGGACTGATGCACTGCTGCACTGCCATTAAACAGCTTGGAAGATCAAAGGCGATTTTTTATATACTGTAACTCCGACTGGATTCGTCTGAAAGAAGAAAGTCATATACACCTAGGATGCCTTGAGGGTGAGTAATTCATGGGCTTATTTTCATTTTTGGGTGAACTAACCCTTTAAGGAGTTCTCTGTAAAAACATTTTATTTGACTCACGGTTTGGAGAAGCCCTTGGCCTTGAGCCAGGTGGTGACCTCAGCCGGGTTGGAGTCAAAGGCCAGCGGGACAGTAGACTGACGCACCACCTTGAAGTTCCTCGTGGGCTGTTGAATCTTATTTCCACTGATCAACATGAGCAGCTCATCGTTCACTTTATCCATCTGTTGAGTGTGACCTGAGGACAGTGAAGAAACATGTTAAATACACAGAATCTGATCTTATTTATCTCGTATATTTGTCTCAAACTCACCGTCTTTTTCACTGCCCATTGAGCCAGAGGGAGACTGTCCACGGTATGGCTGTGTGAGAGACAAAATAATGATTCATTAGTATTTTTAATGATCAAAAATGACTTGTTTTTCTGCTGTTGTACTGTGTAAATGTGTTTACCGCATTGTAAGGTATTCCTGGACTGTATGGCGGGTCAATCATAGTTTGAGGGTCCTCCAGTTTTACCACATCCAGGATATTATAGGGCACGTATCCCGCCTGTCCACTTCGATTCCTCAGCTTCCACCACTGCTTATCATCCTCCAACACCTTAAAACACGCATCCTTCAGAACACAACTTGTATTGCACCAAATTTAGCAAGTGCTTTTTGTCAAAGGAATGTGCATAGCAGCAAAGATCAGCTCATCTTTTGGGAATTTGATGAGAAATGTTAGTTCATAATGAGATCTCTGACTTTTGAGACAATTTAAGACTGATTTGAGAGGAAACAATTTTCTCAGGAGAATCATCTCCATTAGAGCTCAATTTAATCTCATTGCTGTCTTTGAGAAGCACTTGAGATGTTAAATGTGATTTTTCACAGTCTTCATACTCAGGCCCGTAACCAGCTATGATGATGTTCAAAAATAAACTTTGTTCTTTGACTAATTTGCTGTTAAACTCCTCATATGAATGCCTGCATGACATGTATAATTCAGTTTAGACAGTTTGCAAGAATGTTTAGTGTCCCTGTTATGAAAATGATCGCTGCGGAGTGAACGAGGCTTGAGAGAGTTGTGAGTGAAGGCGCGGGCGCAGCTATTATAAGCGTTTTTGGACTTGTCTTTTCCACTTAATTTAACACTTTAGAAAGTTAATAAAATAGGAAGTTGCAGTTTAGAGTCAGCGATATCTTTATCTTTTCTTATTTCCAAAAGATTGGAAATAGTTTCGGTTTATTTTTTTGTTTAAGTATCAATATCTGGCAACACTGCATCACCGGCACTTAAAACTGAAAGCAATCAAAAAAGCCCATGGACAGGTTTTTGCTGACAGGATATGATAATTCAATATGATCATATCTAAGTTAATTCAGTCAAGTGAAAATTATCATGATATTATCTGTCATAAACGTTATCAACGCTGTCAA